GGCGCTGCCTGAGTCCCGGGGTCCGGGTCTCACCTGGTGAACTTGTAGCACCCGGAGTCTAAGAAGGATTTGCGGCTGAGTTCAGGAAGCGAGCGGTGTCGAGAGTGGGGGTCCTGCTACCCCTGAGGCTGGATCCCAGGTTTGTCGCCGAGTCCACGTCGGCGCCCGGGGCCTAGGTCGGTGTCCCCGCGGCGGCTTCCCGTGCCAGCGAGCTGCCGGCGGCCCTCTGCAGAACGCCCCCCTTCCCAGGCTCCGCGGTTCCCGGGCTCGGTGACCGCTCCCGCTGGACCGGGCCACCTGACGCTCGGAAGGCGCTTGACCAAAAGTCACAGAAGCGGTGTGGGACGGAAATGTCCCCGTAGCCCTCCCGGTACCAGGCTCCAGCGATGGCCGGCCCGGAGGGGGCGCTGATCGCGGTGCCCGAACGCTGCGCTTCGGCTGGGGAAGAGGCCGATCTCGGTGCCCCCTCCCCGTTGGCTCAACAGGTGTCCCCGACTCTGGAGTTATCCCGGGACCTAAAGTGAGTGACGGGTCTAGGGAGGTGCCTGCAGGCGTTGCCAGGGGCGCCTGCGCTGGCCACCTGCGCCGGCATTGGTTCACCAGGCGCAGGAGCTCAGTCTGGGGAAGGGCGCTGGGTATAACCAGGAGCCCTGGGTGGAGAGCAAGCGCAGGAATGTGGGAGCTCCCGTTGGACCAGAGGCAGGCGACGTCTCACTGCACAGGTGACGTCTGAGCCAAGACCGGAGGAGCCACATCTTGTTCTGGAGAAGAATGTTCCGGGCTGAAAACTGCATGGGTAATGCCTGGGGCGGGTCGGAGGAGATGCTGAAGTCACCGCCGCAGGCAGGGAGGGAAGGGCAGGGGCCAGGGTCTAGATTTCAAAGTCCATATATATAGATATTTCTGACTGTCAGAAAAGTGGCAAGAACAATACAAAGAATTACCAGAGCCCTTTTGCAAAACTTTCCAAATGTTGATATTCTTACTAGTCTGCTGGCTCCCCTCCTAGTCCCCTCCTCACACACACTGTCTGGCCACTTGGTAGTGGAGTGGGAGTTGCAGACTGTGATGTCCCTGCTCCCCCTGGCTCTGGTGGCCCCCAGGCTTGCAGCAAGTGCCCGAGGGTGGTCTCTTCCACCTCTCCTTCTGTGGAGCAGTTTCTTGGTCACTCCTTGTGTCTCAGGAGGTGGCTTTTTCCTTTTTGGCTCTGGGGATTGAGCCCAGGATGCTGGACTCCTGAGCCGCATCTCCAGCCCTTCCTGTTCTGGGAAGACTCCTGCCCAGCCAGGCCAGCAGCCTGCTGTCTTCCTGCCTGAGCCTCCGAGTTGCCAGGATCACAGGCTGGGCCTCGCCCGGGGAAGCAGGCAGAGTGTACAGAACAGACCTTTTGCAAGGTATTTTGACTTGGATGTGCCTCATGCTTCATTACAGACCCAGGAGACAGCCACCTGGCTGAAGGCCATGGATGGGATGTACGTCCTGATCCAGACTGGGTGCCAGGTCCTGCTGTCTCCTGCTGTGGTGCTGACAGGGACCTGGGTAAGGAGCCTCCACAGGCTTCTCCAGTGCGAAGCTACGGCCTTATCTTGGTCACTAATAAGTGTCTCTCGAGGCATGTTTTATGACGACGTGAATGTTCTGTGAGACTCAGCCATTCCCTAGTTTTAACACTTATTAATGGATTTCATCTGAATCAGTTCTTATTAAAATATTTGCCAAACCCTGAGTCTTCTAGACCCAGTTGTCACTGGGCTAACGTTAAGAGAGTTGCCTCCTGCCTAATTCTCTTTTATTTAGATTAATGTGAATGCATAGATTCATTTTTTTCCACACAGACATTTAGCTGGGTGTGAAGCTGCGGGCCTGCAGTGCAGCTGCGCAGGAGCTGAGGCAGGGGCTGGCAACACAGGGAGACCCCATCTCAAAAGAAAAATGGGAGAAGAAAGCAGGTTTTATTATTGAAAATGCACAATGGATTCTACAGTAAACACAAGTGTTTAGTAGTCAGAGTCGTGAAACTATCACTACAATTTAATTTCAACATTTTTGTCACCCCTGAAAGAAATCTTGTACCCATTAGCAGTCATCCTTGTTCCCCCTTCCCAGTATTCCTTCCCTTACCTATACCTCCAGCTATAAGTAAGCCATCTCTTGCTAAAAAAAAGAAAAGAAACTGCACATAAGTGTATGATTTAAAAAATAATTACAAAGGGGGCTGAATCTGAGTGAAGTAGTACACACCTATAATTCCAGCAACTCAGAAGGCTGAGACAGGAGGATCGCAAGTTAGAGGCCACTATCAGCAACTTTGCAAGACTCTTGTCTCAAAATAAAAAGGGGTAGGGTTATAGGACCTGGGGATATAGCTTAATGATGTAATGGTTGCTCAGCACAAAGCTGTGCGTTCCATCCCCAGTACTGACAAAAGGAAAAAAAAAATTCTTCCCAAAGATTCCTAAACTTCAGATGTTGTGCTTTGAAACCACAGCGAGATGCACCTTCCATTGGGTGTGGGGGTGATTCTTCCTCCGTCACATGCTCGCCACCTTGGGACTTTTTACTTTTTTTTTGGTGTGGGGATTGAACCCAGGGCCTTGTGCATATGAGGCAAGCCCTCTACCACCTGAGCCATACCCCCAGCCCCACTTTTGGACTTCTGACATAACCAGTGGTTGTGCACAGTGGCACATGCCTATAATCCAGCAACTTGGGAGGCTGAATCAGGAGCATTGTTGATCGGAGACAAACCTCAGCAACTTAGTGGGACCCTGTCTCTAAATAGAAGAATATAAAGGAGCAGATCTGTGGCTCAGTGGTAGAGTGCCCCTGCATTCAGTGCCCAGGACCACGAAAAAAGAGAAAGTACTAATCTTTTAGAAATGAATGGAGCTGATGGAGGCAGGTTGTTTTTTTTTTTTTTTTTTTGGTACTGGGGATTGACCCCATGGATGCTCTACAACCGAGCTGTACTCTCAGCCCTTCTTATTTTTTATTTTGAGATAGGGAGGAGGATAGTAAGTTTGAGGCCAGTCTGACAATTTGGTGAGACCCTGTCTCAAAAATAAAGTTAAAACACAGGCAGGAGACAGATGTAGCTCTTTGGTAGAGCTCTTGCCTAGTACATGCGTGTGAGACCCTGGGCTCAATCCCCAGCAACCTGGTCTCTGCACTTAGTCTTGGCTGCCTAAAGGTGGGGGCAGCAGTCCTTCCTCTCAGTTGACCGTGGAAGTTAGAACCCAGATCAGGCCCCAGATGTGCTCACGGCTACTGGGTGGTCCTCTCTGGACCCTCTTAGTAAAGAGGAGACCCCCACGTTTACACACCACACCAGTTACTACCCAGAACCAGCTGGAAAGATGGTTCTGGGGGGCTTACATGACTCCTTCAGGTCCAAACCTAGCCAGGGTTCCTTCACCCTCTGGATCCCAGGGGAGCCTGGACACACCCTGCACTTTCCCTAGCTTCCAGCTGACCAGCAGCTGAGCAAAGCTTCATGGATCCCACACTGGCTTTGCTCTAGATGTCACCTATGACGTGTGGCTTATGATGATAATGGTGACCTTGGTGACTCTCCAGGGCCTTCGCTGTGTCTTCACATCTGTCTCCTCTGCTGTCTTGTCTCTAGGCAGGTCTCTGCTTGGCTCTGCATACAGCATATTAATCACTGACGGCATATTTTGTCCAGAACAATACCGGTTGTTTTGACCTGAACTTTCCCAATCTCTCTCCTCCCTTTAAGGGCCGAAGACACCCAGATAACAACTTCCTGTCAGGCCACCGGGGCAGCAGCTGGAAGTCTCCAGCCGAGTTCTTCCCTGCCTGGTGCCCCTGCTCCTCTCCCGTCCAGCCTTTTGTGTGCCTCAGTGCACTAAGATGGCCTTGATGGCCGTAGCCCCATCCTCTGGGATTCTGGCTTTCCTAAGAAGTCTTCCTCCTAGCCCTGGCTTCTCCTGGAGTCAGTAAGGGCACTGGGTTTGGTAACTGCCACTTGTCCACTTCAGCTCATGCTGTCCGGCCCAGCACCCGCTTGCTCAATCTCATAATGTGCAGGGTCAGTGTTGGACTGGAACTCGTGCCTCTGGGTAAAACATTACCATTGATGAGAGTCAGCTTTGCGTCATGATCTGTGTCTTTAGCTGAAGGCACAAGGTCCAAGTGTTGCCATCAAAGGCCCCAGGAGCAGGGCACTCGCCTCCTCAGCGAGGTTCGTTTGTTTGTGTTCGGCTTTGGGGTCCCTGCTCCTTCACCTCTTTTGTTTTTACAAGCCTGTGAATCGTTACCATCATTCCAAAAGCTAGACATGCGCGGGAAATGCTGTGCCGTGCGCTCCACCCATCTCCTGGACTCTGGCTCATCCTGCTGGGGCTTTGCACGCTCGGGAGCAGGCTTGTGTCTGTGAGAATCGCCTGTGTGGGGGAAAGGGCTGCCTGTGTCCACTGCTTTAGCAGGTGGCCTTGCTCCAGGCTGGTGAGCAGCATTTGGAAGGCAGAGGGCTGCAGTGTGAGGTCTGCCCAGAAAGGCCAGGAGATGGTGTGCAGGACTACACATGTGGAGTCCCAGCAGCTGGGCACCAAGGGGCAGAGGTGCCCAGTAGCCACCAGGTAAACTAGTTGGTCATTCAGAGAGGAGCCTGAATTTGGAAGGAGTCAGTTAACTGGTGCTACCTGTAGGGTTGGGGTTGTAAAGTGAGAGGCCAGAAAACATTCACTTCCTGGAGTGTCGGGGACCACTGTGGCCAGGCAGGCCGAGTGGAGGGCATGCTCAGGGAAAAGGGCGTTCCAGCCGGCCAGGCCCTGCCAGGACCCAGGTGGGAGGAGCGCTTGGCGGGACGCTGGATTTGATGGTGGGGGCAGCCGTGGCCAGTGTGGTTTCTGTGGCTCAATGGGGTGGAAATCTCAGAGAGGGTTGAGGAGCGGGCAGGTCAGAAGATGAGGAAATGTGGCCCCCACGACCCTAGCCACTTCCCTTTGTCACAAAAGGGGATGCAGAAATGAGACCAGGGCTAGAGGAAGGCGAGGCTCAAGGGACAGTGGGTGCAGGAGGGGTACCACGTTCTCACCAGGGGAGCCTCCAGCGACAGGGAAGGCCAGAGGGGCAGAGTCCTCTGGCAAGTGCAGGGACAGGGGCCTGGGGAGGCCCTTCTGTGGTGGATCCCATGGAGCCACTGGCCCTCACAAGGACTTCCCAGCCACCAGGATTGTGGCCAAACACATCTATTAATTTGTTTTAAGATGGGGAGTATGTTGTCCAGGCTGGTCTCGAATCCTTGAGACAAGTGGTCCTCCTGCCTCAGCCTCCTAAGAAGCTGGGACTATGGGCACATGCCACCAAGTCTGGGTTAAACCTCTTATAAAGTGCCTAGTCCCAGCTATTTTGTTGAACACAAAAAACAGACTCAGCCACTGACCATTTTCGACCTACAACAAAAGGACACTTCACAGGATCCCAGTTCCCTGAGCAGTGTCCACCAGCCAGTACAGGCAGTGCCTCCACGTTGAAGCTTTGCTGTTGAGGTTGGTATGTGCTCTTCCAGGGTGCTCCCGCCCAGGGAAGCGCACTGCAGACACGGCACTTCTGAGCCAGACTGCTGTCTGTCCTGAGACGAGGGTCCCCACTGGGGACGAGGGATGGGTCCCCTCCTCCAGTGCCCTCACCACTTAGAAACCACCCCCTTGGACAGGCCCACAGTCCTGCCATGCTCTGAATGCTGAAAGGGCCATGTGGACTTGCAGCGGCTCTGGATTTTTTTGTCCTGCTGTCCTTGGTACAGGGAAGACTGCCACCTGGCTGGTCTCAGGATTACTTGATTGAGATATGGTGGGAAAAAAAAATGATTCAAAGACTTCAAACTTCCACTTTTTTGAACATTGAAGAGGGGAAAGGCAATTTCAGCTTTGGAGTTTGTTCTCTTAGGAACCCGACAGTGAGGAGGGCCGCATTTTCAATCTCAGGCAGTTTTAGAAGGCCGGCTCACTTTGGCTGTCATTAGCTCACTGGGGCGTGGCTCAAAACCTTCTAGGAGTAGAAGTCAACTGCTAATCCAGAGAACCAGGAGGATCACCGAGGAGTATTGGTGGGTACTAGGGATGTGGCTTTATGGATGATGGGACTTTTCCTTAGCAGAGGCCTACCCTGAGTGACCACCTTCTTAGCCCAGTGGGCAGAGAGGACACTGAGGAATACTGGGTTACTGTGTTCCCAGGAGACGACATCCACAGTACCGCACCTGGCCTCTCAGCCCCATCTTTCCTAGGACGATTCTTTCCTGAATTGTCTGAATGTGTGGTGACAAGGCCCTGACTCTGCGTGTCACTTTTCTGGGCTGCAGGACACTACCTGTTTAAAAGGTTCACACCCTGGGGACCTAGTCTTTCATCCCTTTCCCAGCCTCACAACAGGCAGCCGTCGTCGTGACAGCGCACACTCCGCAGACCCATGTCCTCCTTCAGGTGGGCTGTCCCAAGGCCAACACGTGCATGGGGGTGGTCTTACAAGTTTGTTGGCCTTAAAACCTGAATTATTTCTTTAATCAGTGCCATCAGTAATAAAAGTTGATGAAAGTGAAAAACAAATCTACGCAGGTGAAACTCCTTGGAGGCATCTCAGTCCTCTCGTCTTTGCCTGACTGACCATCAGTCCTGCTGGCCCACATCCTGTTTGTCCACAGCACACAGATAAAGGGAAGACCAAGAGAACCCAGAGTCTCCGTGGTCAGTGATTTAGCACACAGAGCCCTGTAGTTCAGTGAGGAAAGTGGCCACATGCAGTGACCCTGATGGAGCAGCTGACCTGAACGCAGGAAAAATCAATCTCACACAAACACAAGAAATGACTGGAGATAATCAGACTTGAACACAGAAAAAAAAAAAAAAAGAAAATTAAGCTCAGGGTAGAATATCAGCAGGAAGTTGGGAAGGTAAAAATCAATCCGAACACTGGGGCAAGTGTGTACAGTGTACATCAACTAAGGACTCATCTCCACACTCTGCGGAGGGCCCGAGGAACAAGCCACAAACAGCCAACTCAGTCAACATTTTGAATAGACAAGACCTTAAGAAGAAGTCCTTCATAATGATATGCAAATGGCCAACAGTATGAAAAGGTGCAGTGTCACTGGTCTCCAGGGATATGCAAATTAAAACAGCACCCACCAGTGCACCCCATCAGAGTGCTAAGAACATGGAGAATCCCCCCCCCTCTTGCCTGGTCAGGCTTCTCCACTCTTGCCCCTCTTCTGTGCATCACTCGAAACTGCAGGTGGACGCTGCCTCCAACATCCACACACTGCAGCGCAATCCCTCCTCCACCAGGCAGGACCCCAGCTAGATCTTCCCATGGCCCACCAGAGCCATCAGTTCTGTCGCCCTTCAACCTCTCCTCATGTTTTCTGGCCGACTTTAGCACAGTGGAGCACACAGAGGAGCAAGCATACCTTGCTGTATGCGTCATGCACTAATCAACGGGGAAGAAATACAACATAAGCATAACTGGGTGTCTCCAAGAAGCCATGCACAGGACAGATCAGCCTTGAAAAAGCCCATCCTTGAATTACTGGAGTGAATCCCACTCTGTTGTGGCACATGTGCTATGCTGTGCTGCTAGTCTGTGGTATCTTGTGCTTTTGTGCCACTTTTACAGCTGGGGTCCCTGCATGTACCTCTGCCATGGGTTCTATCAGCGCCACTCACTCCAAATAAAGGATTTCTGATTAAAAATGCAGCAATGATTTGGGCAATGAGATGTGAAGCACTGGGCCCTGGCTCTTCCTTGTCAGTGGCCTCATCAGCTGCCTTAGCATTCACCTGAGGCAGCTCCATCTCCAGGGGCAGGGCAGGCTGGAGTCTGGTGTCTGAACACCAGCATTGCTGATCAGACACTATGACAGCACAAGGCACCAGCCTGTCTCTGCTCCTGCAGAGAGAGATTCTGACTCTCACAAAGGCAAGTGGGTTAATTGGGGTGAAAAGCCATCTTCCCACTTTGTCTTATGTCAACCTCAACTCCCCTTGCCTATGTAGAGGTTTTGAGGGAAGGTAATTCAACACCCATTCCTCATGGCCCAGTTCCAGTTTTGCTATGTCCAAAGCCTTTGGAATTCTGCTGCCCCACAAAAGGCCTCTCCTAGACCCCTTCCCAAGTTGCTCAAGTGAACCACAGGCAGAAGCCTGTCGTGTAGTTCTGTTCACTATAATAAAACACCAAGCCAGCTAACTTTAAAAAGAGGAAATATTAGTTCAGTTTTGGAGGTTCAAGGGCATGGTGCTAGCACTGCTCAGTTCTCCACTGCAGCATATCCTGGCAGAGGTATGTGTGGAAGAACTTAACTTACACTGCCAAACAGCAAGTCAGATAAACTAGGGTCCCACAATCCCCTTAAAGAGCACACCCCAGTTATCCAAGGAACTTCCACTAGACCCCATCACCCAAGAGTTCTACCACTCCAGACAGTGCCACCCCAAGGACTAAGTCGTCAATCATAACGGGCATTTGACCACATGCAGATCATGGCAAGGCCCTTGCTATCCCCTGTACCATCAGCTGGAATATCCAAAGTGCTAACCAGGCATTCAGCAGGTCCCTCTCACGCCATGTCTGGTGTGTACCTAGAATGTCACCACACCCTGCTGTGCTAGTGAAGCCCATGAATGCCAAAAAGCCCTGGAGTTGAGGTAGTTGGCTCTCAGAGAGCAAGTTGAGCCTCCTCAGGGGCTGTGCCTTCCTCATAGGTAGTGAGAAGTCCCTGTGCACAGAACACAAACCCATGAAGCCTAATTTCCAGAAGAAAAAATATATATTCTTTTACAAAATTAAGGAGACATTGATGAAAGGAAGTTAGAAAATCCCAATGGGCAATCTGAGTTGGAAACTCTCTGCTGAGCACCACACTTCTGGGGAATTTACACAAACTGTGCTTCCAGCTTGGGAACCAGTAGACTCAAGTGGAACTGAAGAGTAGCCATGGTAGAGTCCTACAAGACACAGCAGTATACAAGACCATCCCAAGGGACGAAGCATTGGAAACTGTAAAAGTATTGTTTCCTGTGTTTTGAATTGTGACTGTACAATAAATCACTGGTTGTTTTGGCAAACAGGCAATCCTGAACCGAGAAGTATAAAAGTCACGGCTTCATTTGCCTCTGTACCAGCCTACACTGTTAGGCTGTATTTCACCAAGTGGCCAGGGACATGACAGACAGCAGCAACAGTGTTCTGGCGTCTCGGGCCATCTCTTCCAGACAGCTCATCTTTAACAACGATGTCTGAAAACACTTCTAATGACATTTTCCATTTACATTTTAAATAGATGTTTAAAATGGAGGAAAAGCTAATAGCAGGTAGTTATTAGACACAAAGTACAACTTCTGCCACCTTGCCCCTCTCAGATCAGTTGAGGAAACAAGAATCTGCACAATTACATCCGAATGTTAGACCAACTGAAATTCCTGTTCTGACATCTGGGGTCAAGGGGAGTACAGGGATGGGAATGAGACCCCCTACTCACCAGGAGCCGTCACTGACCCCGCCCCACCTCTAGCCATACCATGAACAGACAAAACTCATTTCTACACACACCAATGTGAAAGTACACAACAGCACGTTTGTTTTAACTGGCACTGTTTTAAACAAGCACTGTTGCTCTTCCAGCAAAACTGAACAAGAGGAAACGACAATGTCTGGGACCCCCTCACCGTAGAGCAGGCTCCTATGCCCCAGAACATGTGCTGAAAGGGGGTGGCTCCTGACTGGCGAGGACAGACTCACAGGCTTCGTGACCAGGCGGGAGGAGAAATTCTGGGCCACCTAATAGGCATGTACCCGGAGTTGACTTTCCTGCATGAACGTCTCACCTGGTGTGTTTTGCTTATTTAAGCAAAATATAAAACACTTTCATTTATACCCAAAGCAAGATGTGCACATAATCTTTCCCTTGAGAATGAATCACTGGCATAAAGAAAATTTAAATTAAAAACTTTCCAAAAGAAAAAAGTTACACCAGGAATACTGTATCACTACAAATTTTATTCAGAAACCCATCTTTGTGTTTTTTTTTTTTTGTTTTTTAAAAAAAATTCCCATTATGAACTGGTTTGATCAATCAACTACAACACTTTCTAGCAGACATACGGTAAAAATGGCATGGCTCAGAATCGCCCAGATCTTTCACGATCTCTCGATCGCCTCCTGTCACGCTCGCGGCCCCCACCTCCTCCGCCGCCTCCACCACCACGACCACGGTCTCTGGACCGAGAGCGCCGCTCCCTGGATCGGGACCGGGACCTGTGCCTGCAATCAAGGAAAGGAACATGCAATCAAGGAAAGGAACATGCAATCAGCACCGACACTCCTGAAAATGCAACAGCCAACAGCCCTTTTGAAGGGAGAAGCGCTTCAGATAGTCTTGGGACAAAGATATGACCCCTCCACCTTCTACGTCTTCCTCCAGTAACAACTCACATGACCACGGGAAAGCACCATAATACATGATCCTGATACGCACCCTGCCCCCAACTCTGACCAGGCCCTCCCCCCCAGGGACACCCACTACTGAGCCCAGGAGGCCTATTTTGGGGCAGGAGAGCAGAGTTCTTTTTCTCCTCTGCTTCCTGTTGTTGGTAGCAACAGAGGATCCCCACTACTCCATTTCCTGACACATGTTTAACAAGAGAGGGATGAGAACCCTTCTAAGATCAGAATTCAGCCTAACCAAAAGCGTGACTCTTCCTATTCACCACTAATGCCTTGACTTTCTCTGCTGTGACCAACTGCTGCACCCAATTTTGTCAGTAGTAGAAACAGAGAACTGACACCCATCAAGAGAAAATGAAGCAACTCCCCACAAAACCAAAAGGAACCAACAGGCACATGGTACTTAAAGGAAGCTACAATACCTAACTGGAGAGTAAACTATCGCACACACTGAATTTCAGTGGTCTCCTTCTTAACATTTCTGGTGACTAAGGTTTGATTTCCACTTCAGAAACAAAATCGTGAACATTCTTCAAAAAGCATATTTCACATTAAAAAACAGAATACACGCACATACACATAAATTTTAAAGAATGGAATGAAGTCTGTTTAGTCTTGGGTGAAATTAAGTTCTATAGCACACATGTTGTCAAGTACTCACTTCTTGCGACGGCGCCCATACAGCTCCCGCCGCAGCTCTCTGGAAATGGGCTTGAGATGCATGAAGTTGCAGAAGCCTCCTCGTGTGCACTCTCTGTGGGTCAAAGCCAGAAGTGTGTCATGCACTGCGAGGGCTGGAGCATGCGCAGCCCACACGCGGCTTTGCGGTCTGCCCTGCACTCACCCCATCTCATATTGGCGGCAGCAGGCTTCCCTGAAGTCGGTCACAGGAGACAGCTCAGCATGGATTGGCTGTCCATTAAACCAGCGGTTATTCAGGTCAATCACAGCCTTTTCTGCATCTTCCTCACGGCGAAACTGGAAAGACAAAAACAAAACTGCTTGCCACTCACCTTAGTAACACATTTTCAGTCATTGATCCTGCTACATGTTACACACTGAGGTGAAATTTCTAGGATGGAATAGTGGTGCAGAACAACTGAGAAGTCAGAAGTCAATGGCTCCCCCCCCCTTTTTTTAACTATTAATTTCATTATAGCCCAAGACCATGCTAAATGTTGCATTCATTTTCAAATTCAACATGCTAAGAGCAAATGTGATTGCATAGGCAATGCATTTTACTGAACAAAAAGGAAAAAGACACAAAACATAAAGTTGCCCCTAGTCAAAACAGCTCTAACCCAGTTATGTCCCTTGCCACAGTGATGACAACCATGGTGCACTATCCTTCCTCCCAATCCTGTTGACAGGGTGTAGGCTGGCGGCCTCCAATCTCAAAGCCACGACTGGGAGTGCTGAGTTACCACATCAAAATTCCTAAGTTCCCACATTCATGATCTTAAGGCCAGCAGCTCAAAGGGCAACAGTCCTTGGTCACCAGGCTCTGCCAGCCAACCAGTGTCCTACCTTGACATAAACGTTCCCCACTAGGTGATCTCCTAGGTTGTCACAGACGTTCATTTCCTCGACTTCCCCGTACTTCTCCTCCATCTCTGTAAAAACCTCCTGAAGGGAGAATACAGTGGTTTAAGGACTATGAAATAGCCAAGCCTTGTGTCACTAACTGCACTCAATGTGTTCAGGGGGTGAGTGTTAATCCCTCCAAGCAGATACGGTGAAGAGGTGTGCAGTCCATGGTCTCACCTCAAAGAATTCATCATAATGCTCCTGCATCTCCACATCGCTCACGGCACCTACAAACAAGAGAGATCTTGCTGGTTAGAAGGCGGCTGTCCAGAACTCTCCTCTTTAAAGTTCAACTGCTACATTGACACACACGATTGTCTAGAGGAACAGCAGGCCAGCGTTGCACGCTACAGGAGCACCGGCTTGCCAGTGACTTAGAGCGTGCTGAGACTGTGAACGCCCGGCAGTCTCAATTTTGGCTACTAAAAATCACAACCAGTTTTAATCAGCATCAAAGGGCTGTATTTTCAGGAAATGCGAGGGAAGGGTGACTCTCAAATTAAGACATTGTCAAGTTTCCTTCCTTTAAGATTTAGAATAGAGGTCAAGTAAGCACACTACTTTTCCCCTTTATTAAAATAAAAGCTGAAATCAGGGCAAACGATTAAGAGCTTATGTGCCTAACTAGTTTTTTCTATACATTACCAGCCACAGAAGGCTAGAAAGTTCTTTCTGATGCGATTAAAACCCAAGCGATCAGAGACTCAGCAGGACCATTAACCAGTTACAACTTCAGTATTTTGGATGCCCCAGTAAACGTAAAGTCATGATGCTTTACAGAAAAAAAGCATTCTTCTTTTATGCCCCAGAACTATTTTTATCAAGTTCACCCTTCACAATTCACATGCACTACGTGAGATCATACCCATTGCATGGATAATTTTACAAATTTACATTCTATTCCCATCATCATTTTTGCTATCAAATTTTACTATTCTAGAATTCTGGAGTTCTCCTAATCTAAATTTGAGAAATCGTAAAGCTGGCAGGTCAATGAAGTCATGTTCCAAACAGGTAGGTCAGGGCCAAAGGTCCAGCTGGCTTCAAGGCTGGGCTGGCTGGGTCTCCAATTGTTACCTTCCACGGCCACGCTCCTGGATGAGAGGTTAGCTGACAAACCTCGCTACCTCACTTGGTGCAGCCCACCAAGGGCATCTGTGATTGGGGTGTGTGACTACACAGACTGGGCTGCCTTTGAGCTCACTCAAAACCCTTTTTATTCATTCTCAAAGATAATAGCTAACTTATCTTCTATTCTGAGAATAAGTCCTCTTTTTAAATTAATGGAGGCTGTTGTATTATTTTTGAATTTCCAGAAACTCAGTTTGCCTTATAATTCAAGACTGAATGAATGTGCTAGGCTACACCTATGACTTCTGACAGCCAACCTGCCACTGGAACCACAAAAGGCCCAACTCAGCTGTCAGGAGCACCGGGTCCGAGTGGAACTCAACACAGCAGGAAGCCAGAAGCCCATTCCAGGGGTGGATTTGAACATTATTTACAATACATTTCCTTTTCCGTATCAGAAAGAATGTGAAAAGAAAAAGAACTTAAAGTTTTAGCAGCTTTGAGAAGTTTTTTGTGGTAGTTCTTTTGAACTACTGGCTACACTCATTTTGCTTAGAATTTTTTAGTGAAAATAACTTGAAAAGCAGAGATCGGTACATAGTAACCAAATAGAAACTACTTAAATGACTCAGTATATTTTAAATAATACAAATTTTAATAACACAAATTTAAAAAACAACTAGTTTTCTTAGAAGAGTATCACTCAAAAACTGGGACTCATGTTTAACTTCAATTCCTGCACATGAAGCTAATTTTCCTAGGTATGAAAGGGCAGAGCCAGTGATTTCATTTAGGAACGATTTTCTTTTTAAAACCCAAAATTATAAATGCATTTAATTTGTACAATCTGGATGGACCCCAGAATTGGAACATTTAGTAACAGCTAAACTTTCAGTTTGTAGCATATGCAAAATAAGAGTACTATGAATTGCAAATAAAGATACAAAGAAAACTAATGCAACACTATGGTCAATGAAGCATACGCAGTCCCCAAGTGAACAACCAGGGCAGAGATTTATTAATAACTGTTAATCATCTATTTCTCATTTATCTTCACCCCAGGGTTAACAAAATGTTAAATGTTTATTTCCCTCCACTACTGGCACCTTATTTCTTTTAAAAAGCGAACAACCAAAAAACAAAACACCAGGTATTTTAAACCAAGGATTACCAAGTAAATCCTGCAACTACCAGATTCAGGGAGAGAAATCTCTATCAATTGAGTATTAGCATACAAAAACATTTAGCATCTCAGCAGGAAGTTTACAAGAAAATCCCATCTCACATGGAAAGGTACACCAAGCACCCCTACTTGAGGGCCAGCTCCAGTGGGCAATGGCCCCCTGCCCCCAGGACCATTTACCCAAGGTAGGTTACCCTACAATGGAGAGGTTCAGGTTTAAGGGTGTGCTTGATTTAGGTCTGTGCTATCCAAGGATAGCTTTATTAATTTTTACTTTAAAATAAACCGGTGAGAGGTCTGACCCTTTGGTTTTGACTCCTTATTCTAACTAGAGTCCAGGAGTTCATTTCAATTTACCCACAAATGACTAATTCCCAATGGTTCTACTGCTGGACACTTACAAACATCCACTCTATAAATATTCACAACCTAAGCAGATTTCCCAATACAGGAAGAAACTGGTAATGTTTACTGAATGCCAGTTTAGAACTGTTTCCCCACTGAGTGCCTTTTATTTCCCCAAAACAGCACTTAACTCCGGCAGTTGGAGATTTTATCTAGGCAAAGCAGGCGGCCCCAAAGTGTCTTGCGCCTATCTGAATGGAGTACACCACACGTGTGGAGGAAAACTGAGAGGTCTACAAAAGCTACAGACCTTCACTGGATAATACAGAATAAGCTCTTGCAATTAAAAGACCTCCAAAATGGAGTTTTAGTGAAAAGACTAATGAGAAAAAAAACCTAAAAAAATTCAAATCAATTTGTTTTTGAGAGTTCAGAAAGTGAGAAACGTTCAGATACTGCTGCTCTTAAGAGGGAAGAGCAGAACTTGAACTCAATCCCAGGATGACAGTCCAAGTGAGAAAGAAAGAGCAGCAGGTCCGAACTGTTTCAAAGGGTGCCCTTTCCAGTCACTGTTGCTCTGGCACAAAGGGCCGGAGTTCAGATCTCCAACAGAGGCTTCCACGGGATCAGTGGGACACACTCCTGCCACCTCTAGTGAACGTGGTCCTCGACACTAGCACAGCAGACCAGATGGAGTGGGCACTGAGCTCTGACACGCAAGCCCAGGGAACCAGGGAAGGAACTTGTATGAACTTACAGCGCAAACCGTCAGCAGACTGGGAAGAGTTTTGAGGGTTACGGTAAATGTTCAAGAGGGCAATGGTCTGAAATACAAAACGCAACAACTTTATATTACGGAAAATTAAATGTAAACACTTAACCGGTTGCCTTTGGCGATCGCTTCAGGTGAGAGTCAGTGCTGAAAAAAGAGGAGGTTATTTTCTTCAGAAGCAGAGATGTTCCCTTAGTTGGTGGCTGTCTTGATCTACCCTAACACTGCAGTGCAACAGAGATCTCATGAGATGCCAATACTGTACTTCTGTTTAGAGAATGTAAAAATGCTCCACTTTAAAATTCCAATCCAAGTAAAAATGCAAATAGCTTGCCAGGTGACTACCAGTGTCCTCAGGTGTGACAGAAAGCTTAACAACTGAGAAAGAAAGGCACCTCTATAAACGGGTGAAAAAATTCCTAATAATTCGAGAAATACAATAATTACATTTCATGAAATCTCCACTTCCTAGAGGAAAAATTATAATGGTGAAATAGAACCCACACTTATTGGGCAACTTACCTTGTTGATTTCCTCAATATTCCTAGCATTTTAAATTTTACAGAAAGAACTTAATAAAGGCCAGGGGTTCAGTCACTGTAAAGACCAATGACCGGCTATTAACATTAAAACCCGTTTCACATGGACGGACGCTCTCCAGACAGATGTCAGTCAATGGAAGAGGTCGCCAGTGACCCTTCCTAGGAGAGCCTCCTGAACATGGCCCATATCAAGTTCTGGCTGTGTGCGCCACGCTGTTCCAGCACCTTGTCCTGTTTGCAACAGCTCTATGTCAGCAGCTCAGAGCCAACATTATGTCTCAATTAAGAGTGGGCTCTTGAACACCATCGTTTTAAAAAAATTTCTCCAACTGTGGGACTTACAGTGTGAGCCGTCAGCCGTCTGTGCACTGTTTTGGGGATTACGATAGATGTTTTGAATCAAGATGGTCTGCGGGGAAAAAAAAATAAAAAGGGGAATTCTACTGGCTGCTGTGCATATATTAGACAATTGCAAAGAGACAATTTGTTTGCAAATGGCTAAACGTTTGTTGTTTTTTTCCCGCAAGTCAGACACTTTGTCTTGTGCAGAGTATACCAAAACCATCATATTATGAAAACAGAGTTTGAGCAGTGACTTGGGTCAAGTCAGCCAGCAACCAAGAAGAAACTGTAACTGTTGTTTTGTGGTCCCCGTTATCAATAGTAAAGTGCTTTAATACAAGATAAATAATAGAACACTAACATTTTCTTGTACTTCAAGCCAGCAGACACGAAGATGTCAAAAAAACTCACATTATAATCATATTCCCCACACAAAATTATTTTTCTCTACCAAATGCATAACTCAACTGTATGCAGTACATCAAGTTCTCTGGTCTTAGCAAAACAGGCACACCAAGTTGTCATGGATACCTGACTCTTATTTACACTTTCTTGGTGGGATCTCTGTTTACATAATACAATAGTTAAAACATTTGCTCTTTTCCGATCCTTCTTTTAAGGAAAAAAATCCTTTTAGCCCTTGTGCTTTAAAACTGGATCAGGCAGACTTGAAACCTTACACTGTACCGTTCTTCTTAAAATCAAGTTGTCTGAAAAAACAAACCATGTTTGAGTTAGTAAGCTAATATATTACATGAATCTTGTCCACATCACTGTAAGAAGCTTACAAAGAAACCCACCCTGAATTATGCTAGAGATTTACAAGCTGAACCAACACACTGCATGATTTAGAAAAATAAATATTCATTCTTAATAACAGGGGTGTGAAGAAAGCATTTTTCAAGTATTTTAGTCACCCAGTCAGTTCTACTCTATCTTTAAAGAGGCATGGTACCAAGGGACGTTCCTGCAGGCCTGAGCTGGAACCCACCTGGAGGAAGGGCTGAACTCAGAACGCACACCCTGAACCATGAGAATAAAACAGCCACCTTCACTCAGGGCCCAGCACCCTCCCTACCCATCAGGGGCTACCCTGAGTCAACTCATCTTGGGCCTTGGAGGTTTCCAGAAAATTGATTCTACACAGCTTCTTCAGGGATCACGGGTGTGAGCACTGACTACAAGCTAAACAGAGCCTGGACACTCAATGATAAAACTCACTACAGGGCTCCCTCAGGCAGTGGCTGTTTGCTGCACGAAACTTCAAATAAAGGGGTGAAGTGGTTCCATTAAAATTGGGAGCAACTAGGATTACCTCCAACTAACAAACCAAACCAACACAAGATACTGACCTCATACTGCTGATGCCATCAAATTTTAATGGAAGCACCTCCATGTTCTAATCCACAGTATTCAAATCAACTTCACATTGAACCTCCTGAAGAGATCAATGATTCAGAAAGAAGAAAAATCAAGTGTTCTGGCTCAGTTAAAGGGCATTCTTAAGGAGAAAACAGCCAGATACCTGATGTGCACTTTCCCCAGAATAAAAAACCGGGGTAGATTTCAAAGACTTGGTTACTGCACAATCTATAGCCACTAGTTGGGGAGACTTAACTAAATAATTCAAATTAAAACACAATAGAAAACTTAAAGCAAGTTCTCTGATATTTCAAAATTCACAAAAACAAACAGGGACATGTTTGGTTATTAAAGAGGAGATTTTTGTTACACTAACCATGTAATCATGAGGAATGTTGTGAGGAAAAAGGCATTATGTGCTTCTCTTTTAAAAAACATTATGTGGTAAGGTTTTCCCAGATACTTAAAACATCAATGTCTCTCTTCCAACTCACTTCTACCGGTTGATTATTTAAAGAATACATCCAGTCTGTGAGAAGGATAAATCATCAACAGAAAGGTGTGTATTCAAGGCTGAGTCCAGCAGCTTCTGAGAGCTATGCACTGTAGCCACCAAAGGGTCCAAGTGCACCTTGTGTATGGGGTGATGAGAAAGGGGCTCCTCAGTCTCAGTCCAGACAGACTTAATGGCACTTTCTGCCACTATTAGAAGTATTCTATCCTTTCAATCCATCAGTAAACCCTTGTAGGGCACAGATCCTTGCCTTTTCTTCAATATGCTAAATGCAACTATCAAAAACAAAACAATCACCAACCCCCCCCCCCAAAGATTGAACTCAGCTCAAGATAACAGGCATCTCTCAATTAATTGAACAGGCCTGCTATGGACAAGGTATGCTTATCTTCTACTATTAAGTTTCATCTTAATGGTTCCAACATGGTGCAACTTGCTGCTTGCTCAACTTGGGGTGTAAAAGTGGGAACTTCTCTGGGGTATCAGAGGAACTCAGCAGCACAATGTGTTGGCCTGCTGACAGACAACCGTGCCAACATCCCTTGTCCAGTGGCTGAATCACTCTACTGTCTAGAGAGAGCAAAGAGCAGAAAGCCCACTCTTTATCTACCACAGCCTGGACAAGAGGTGCAGTCAAAGCTGGCATTTTCCTCACCAAACCACATATATCAGGGGAGGGACGGCAGGGCAGTGAACATCAGTCACAGCCAACACAAAAACATTTAACTTATTTTTAAAAAGTTTCTCTAGTAAGAAGAATAAGGGACCTCCCACTATGGGTGGTTCACCTGCTTCATTCTCACTTAAACAAAAGGACACATGAACACAAATACAAAATAAAACAAGGAAAAAAGACAATATATGGAAACCATTAAGTGCTTCTGAAAAATACAAAATTTTGGTAAATTTACATGAAAACAGAAAAGAAAAAACAAACAAACCTGGCTAAAGGTCGGTTTATTGTGCAACCGAGAGCATCTGTCTCCATGACGACATGCTCCAATTTTGAAATAAAATGAGCAGTTGACTCTGCAAGGGAAAACAAGAGCTGATTATTTTACTGTGACAATATCAAAAGGGAATATGCCATTAACATGATATATATATATAAACCATCCAACTACTTTCCTTTTACTTCACAAAAGCGCAGACAGTTTTTCTGGGTGGCACTTTCCTCTTCCTTGCAATATCTTAGGATTACTCTTTTTCACTTTTACTCTTCTGGTTTTTCTTAATTAAATCAAGTATTTAGTATAAGTTAAACCTAAGCCCTATCCTCTATTTTGTCCATGATAAAATTCTGGAAGACACCAGCAGGGTATAGGGAGAAGAGAAACCCCAACTCTACCATCTGCCTGGCTTGGACAAGTTCCCCACTTCTGCAGGTCACAGATGCTGTCTGTAAAATGAGAAGGAGCCAACCTGACACTGTTCTCTGAGAATCAGATACAACATATATGTACTTCATACATAGGACTCATTTAGTACTACCACCAAGGAAAACAGAAAACAAATTTCAGGTTCTCCTACAACCCATAAGACCAAGAGAAAATTTACAAATAAGTATGAAGTAAACAGGAAATCAAGGGATCAAGCATGTCTTAGAAACTATCTCAGATCATCTCTGTCTCTACTATAAATACATTGATCACCCAGAACAAGTTGCAATCAGCACCTGCAAAACCGTAATGCCAAGTAATGTGGCGAATCTGTGAGGAATTATGAAATTGTACTAGATGGACTTCATTCAAGTTTCACCTTGCAGAGTGAAAGTGCTGCTCTATAGATGCAATTTTTTAGCAAGGACATGTTCAAGAAGTCAACCCTAATGGCCTCGACTTTCAATGAAACATGATTGATTAGCCATAAAGATTGTTAGCTATTACCAGACAGCAATCAAGATGGGAAGGTTTGTGAATTTATCAAGAAAGGAAAATAATCACTATGTATAATTCTCAAACTTAGAAGTAACTCTGACTTTAGATAACCTAACTTGATCAGATAATAACATATTAATGAACTCAAGTGAAAATAAATACCTTATTTAACAAATATGTCAGAATGAGCAAAATCATTGCTTGAACAATTAATATTCAATTATCCCATAGACATAAAATAACCCTTGTTCCTGTACTTCCAGTGATGGGCTTTCATTTCAACCAATTCGCTATTTAGAGATTAGGGGGCGGGCAGGTAACTTTAGTGATTTTCTCAGTATAACTCCGGAATGAAATGCCATAAGAAAACAGGTTTACTACCACAAACAAACCACTAAAAAGGCTGATTTATACTTGAAGCTAGAAAATGGCCATAACTTAACGTGCATAGTTACATATATATTTTTTAAAATTGGTAGAGTAGTCCCACATCTATCTTCTAGCTTTAATTAAAAAAGGGGAAAAAAAAGTTAATAGAAACCATAGCTTTCATTTTTTAGGAGCTGATCTTGTTTCCTGAAGTTAAGCCCATGCAACTCCCTGAAATGAGCACATAAGTGACCTAGATAATAAACTTTCTGAATTGAAACCATGACGTGTGATTCTGCCTTAAGAGGCAGAAATATGCCTAAAGTAGGAATGTAAAAATGTTACTGGAGTAACAAGCCACCCAGGACAGCCTCTCACAACACCCAGCGACAGCACACAGAAATACACATGAAAAGGTGAACTGATGTCCCTGGTTCTGCATGCGTAAGTCCTGCAGCTTCCATGTCCAAGGACATATTAGGCCTGTTTCCCAAGCCACCTCCTATACCTCAGAGCATTTAAGATACACACTCTTCCACAGCGTTTCAAATATTTTAAGGTATTTTACTTTAATTAATCTTGACACTCCCTCCCACTACAATCCCTAAAGACAAGACCCAAATTTTATGAATCTCTGAGTTCCCAGCATGTCCCATAGCTGATATCCAATGTATGTTTCTCCAGTGACTATGACTGCTGATTCTGGTGTGAGATTTCTAGAAAGAAATACATCCCCTCTCCCAAACAAGACAGGGGATTCTATCCTGTGTAAAGAAGACATTTGACAGGGCAGCCTCCAGCCTGGAAAACAGAAACATTTCAATAGTATTTGAAAAAGTGGCATCAAATAATATTATCTATGACAAATTTAGGGGCTTACCAGAAAAAACAGATGTTTGCATAAGCTTTGCATGGCGCTCAAGAATGCCAAGACGGTTACCACTTACTGGGAGTAGATTATGCCAGACGCTTAGGCTTTGGGTTTTCAAAGTAGGAATTATCCTTCAAAGCGTCTGGAGACTTCTCTTTACCCTAAACTTCAGCCAACACACTGAAATTAACACGTGCCAACACGGCCACCAAACACAGCGAAATTTGATTCTTCACTTTTAACCTAGCAGCTGATGAGGGAAGACATGCAACCTTTACCGGGAGGGAAAAACACGAACCCCCAAAGAACCCCAAACTCTGCTCGCATCGGAAGCGCGACTCCCGAGCGCTCCGGGAGCAGGGCCTCCGTGGCCGCGGCGCCGCTAATCCGGCGTCTGGCTGCGCTTTCCCACTTCAGGGTCGCGCC